CGCCATGGAAGCTATGTCTCCCTTTTAAACCAAGGTCTACACTCAGCTGAGGGGCCTTTCGAGAAAACGATGAACTCTTGTCATCTAGAGAGATACGACTTCATCCGGAGGATATTTCCGCTGCAGCTTTCCCGTCCGGGAAAGACCCGATCTGCGGGGGATCATCTTTCCATCATGTTCCCCGCATTCCGGGACAACTATCGGGGCATGGATCCGGCCCGGGAGACTGACCCGGTGACCATTGGTTAGTCGCGGTGAACTTGGAATGAATTGAATACAACGAGTGTTGTGGTCCACTTAGCATGGTATATTGGTCCATGTGAATCTGCCGGTAAAAGACTGCCACTTCTCATGTCGTTGAATCTTACTTCTTTTCCTCCCGACACTACTTTGACAAACCTTGTTATTCACATAAAACATGAAGCTTATCAATTTGTTGAGAATCTTCACTCTCGGAACGATAACAGCGGTGACCGCCGCAGAGAGGAAACCGCTCTCTTACATATCCAAACCGGCGGGTACCTACGTGCCCCCAAAGACCTCCGACACGACAACGCTCCTAGACTTTATCAAATCTAGGAGCGACCTGACAACGCTCGCCGAGGTTCTCGACGGATCCGCGGGCTTCACGGAAGCGTTCGACACCGTCCCCACCTGGAACTTCACCTTCTTCGCGCCCTCGAACGCCGCCTTCGAGAAAAACACGGGACAGTACTTCAACACCTTTTTGCCGACGCCAAAGGGTAAGTGGTGGCTCGGCAATCTGGTGCAGCACCACTACGTGCCCAATTCGCAGCTTCTCACGAGTGTCTTCAACGAGACTGCGACCAGGATCCAGACGGGGTCGTACTTGTACGTTGGCATGCAGGTCAAGGATGGACAGGTGTGGATGAACGATGTTGCGGCGGTGACGGAGGGAGATTTGAGGGTTACCAATGTGCGTCCTGTTTCTTTGCAAAAAGGAACAAGATCTCCAACTTGTGTCGATTCGAACTGTTCGGAACCAATCGTGCTAACGGGAGTTTGGGTCCTAGGGCGTCGCTCATATCATCAATCGTGTTCTTGATCCATCGGCGCAACTATTTGAAGCAGATAAGCCCAAGGTCGACCAGAAGTTCATTGCTGGGAGCTGCTCTGACACGTCTCTGCCATACTGTTAGACTCGACGAGAGACTGTACACGAGAGAATCCGAAGGCTGGCAGCCCTCAGAATATTGGCCAAGCAAATCGACACATCACCCACAGCCTTTGAGTAGACAGTTTTTGTCTATCTCATAATGCTCAACTCTCATGAGCTGTAATCAGAATCACTCGCCGCTTAGGATTACCTTGTTCTTCGCACCGCATATGGGGGATAGGTCGATGGCACTCAAATAAGGTTACCAAGAAGGTTCGAGATTTGACTTTATTCCCACTTGAATATGCAAACTCAGGATCTTCCGGTAGATGAAAGGAAAATTCTCATTGGAGCGCCAAATACCACAAGTCGTATATACCGTAGTATTACTAAGTCTTCCCACGCGCACTTGTTTCAAATCCCTAGACTGCGGGTTATCCCACCCGACTTGGCTCCAGTCAAGGATGTGTGTAAGGCCGACAGCTGAATGCATACATGTACGAACGGTTCGTCCCGAGCGAGATTGAACTATATCGAGTCCGCCAGAGGGCACCTCTCTCAACCGGAGAAAAAGGGCAACAAAGACAAAGAAAAATGATAGTCGACAACATATATCCAGCGACATCACACCATGGAAAAGTCAAACAGCATACCGCGTGGCGAAGTCTCTCCTGTCCCCGGCACACGCGATCCGCGGTGTTCCTCGGATTTGACGTTGGATCCGAGGCGGAACTAGGTCAAACTCAAAGACCGACGCCGGGAACGAGGGGCATCAGCCCGGGGAGATCTGGCTCGAGAATACCATGTCGCCCCCCTGGAGTCTGGACCGCACTTCTCATGGGTTTCTGAGAGACACCGATGACATTGTAGCATTCTGGGGCAATTGGGAGGGGAGGATGTGTTGCTGCCCCGAGTCAAGTCTTCATCACAGTCTGCCTGGTCTCGAATCCGAAGTAGACTGTCACTGCAAGTAGGATGAGTTTGGCAAGACTGGTGAGAACTAAGGTGACTGTAATGACAACAAGAGAGGGTAGCTCAAAGGCATTTATGTGTCTGAGCAGAATGGCAATTCCGGAATGATTGATTCGATATTTCCCCCCAAAGTGGCCGCAAGACAAGACCAATAAAGCGACTCCCCAAATCCAATGCCTCTTCTGCCTCGCAAGTTCTTACCATTACTTCTACAACGGCTTCATCTAGTAGATAATCCACGTCCAGACAGACTATCCTCAGATCGGCTTGGGCTTTGCTGTAGGAAATCCTGACGCGACGCGAAGCGCGTTTAAGCAACTTCACGAAAGAAACGCGTCTTCCTCTAGTCCCAGCACCAACCGTGGGCCGGCCCCTCTCCCCTGAAAGCCAAAAAAGCTCCCCTTCCAACCAGCAAAATCACGTTTGTCAGCACGTAGAACATGGACGTGGACGTGGAACCAGCCGGCCTTTTCACTTCTTCGCGGCAATTTTACCTCCGCAAGCCGGAAGGCGAAGGCCGAGCCAAGGCTTTGTGATATGGTGCAGCTTGAGCAGGATCTCTCTTGTCACACCGGGGCGGGCGGGAACTCAGAGGAGAGAGGGGCTGCTGAAGCTCGGAGGCTGGAGCAGGAAGGAAGCTTTGTGGAGCGGGCGCTGTTCGTCCCTAGACAGCCGGGGTGACAGGACGTGCTTCGTGATGTGGGCTATGTATGATGGTGGCAGCGATCTAGATGCCCAGAATTGCAATCCCACTTCGTCGTTCCTGCGAAGGTTGGTCTAGATACCGCGGTAATTTCGCCGAACAGTCGTTCATACCCATGGACTGTAATGAGGAGGACTGTCCGAGTCGGTTGTTCCTTACAAGCAGCATGGCATTCTTGAAAAGAAAGAAAAATAGCATATCCTTGCTGACATCCCTTTTTTGGGGCACCCTCGCTAGTAGCAAGCTCTCGAGGACGACAGTGCACACACTTTACTAGCTCTTCCACTCTGCTTCCCAAAGACGTCTAGCCTTGGAGTCAAAAGACGTTTGACAGGGCAGAATGCCAAGCTTGAACTTGCTAGAGCCGAAGAACGTGGTTCGGCCGATAAACGCTGAATTCCGGGCTCGTGAGATCGGCCACTAACCATTTTGGAATTGGACGCTGTGCAATCAACGACATCGAGAACGTCATTGCTGGGCAGAAATATCCAATGGTCAGTGAATGGCGATGCTTCGCGGGGCTCATCGGCCGCTTGGATTTGTTGAGCTCCAGAGTCGAATTCGAGAGCAATACGGAACCCATGCCTAGTATCCGGTCTAGTAGTAAATGCCCTCGGAACTCTTGTCGCCTAGCTTTGGCAGCCCAACATGTCTAGCACGCCTATGAAATTCCGACGATGTCGTATTGCGGCTGGATAAGATCTGCATTATAGGCGTTATCGTTTTCACTACCCCCGTGGAGCTCTCAGCCGTGTTTGCGTTGCAATCATGGAGGAATACTCTGGAAACGAAGTAGAAAGGATGTTGTCCTTCTAGATGGGAAACAACAACGGTGAAGCCTCCGGAAACTGCACTGGCACTTTTCTTCAGTGCTATCAGTTTAGTCCCCTTCATTTTCCAATTCACTTGACTACTTGGAAATATCACATGGGAATCCAAATCCCATTGCATTTGCTTCAACCGGGAACTGTTGGTTCAAGCCGTTTTGTACATGGAACGGCGAATCGTAGGAGCCTAGGCACAACATGGTCAGCATGTCGTTACGAAGCTACCGTCCCATCTATGGCCGGGGTACCGGCGAGATGGCATGCCGTCGAATAGCTTGTGCTTCTGGACGACTTCCTCTTGCATCGACTGCCAGGCGGGAAAACGAGAATCCGCCATGGAAGCCGCCTGCTACCTCCCGAATTTGGCCCTTGATAGTCTAGAGACCAAGAGCCATTCCTTGGCCGAGGAATGCTGCGAGATCTGGTCTACGCAGACTAACAGGCTTGAAAGACTTGAGTGCGACCCCTCAAAATACAATTTACCTCAAGCCGTTGACTTCCGAGCGACACCAATAAAAGTCGCGCCCATTTAGGTACACTGGATTCGGAAACGAACTTGACTTGGGCTCAGAGCATCGACCGAGCGCAAGGCTGGACTGTATCGCTTGCCCCGTTGAACGCGACTCTTGCGAACCATCCCGTCATATTGCGCGGAGACCGAAAGCGGCAGTGATCCCATGTGCCCCAGGTTGTTGAGGGTGTGAACCGCGGTTCGAGGCGCGCCGCGAACTCATCACACACGCACGGTCTCTAACGTCCTGCGGACAAGTCTGGCGGGATGCGAACGAGTACGTACGGGTTATCCGCTTGCGAGAGTACAAAGAAGAGGGTAGAGCCGGACTTGAGCGACAAGCGCCAACAGGTCGGTAGGAAAGACGGTTGAGGTCAGATAATTTGTCGAACGAAACGAAACGCCGTGTCAGTTGCAGCCCCGACTCCCCGAGTGCATCGGGCAGAGCGGTTTGGTGGTGTGGAGCAGGCAAGGTCGGTCGAAGCCTCGGAAACCACGAACATACACGGTGCAGGAAGGGAAAGAGGATACTGGAGTCTGGAGTCTGGAGTCTGGAAAGCAGGCAGGCCGCAGGCAAGTGGTGAGTGAATCAGGCGAAGCAAGAGCCACCGTTTTCTCTGACAAGTGTTAGACCGGGGTGGAGGATCGGATCGTCACGTGCACGGAAAAGATCCGGTTGAACTGGGCTCAACTGGGTGCGACATAGAGACACAGACTTACTATGACTGGGGAATTGCAGGGAAGGAGCGGTAGGGTAAGGGGAGGCGTTCTTCGATCGGCAACCGCTCGCCAGTTCTCTCCGGGACCTGGATCTGACTCTCACTCTGGCATTTCCATTGCTGACTGACGCCGATGCTGGGCGTGAGGCATCTAAGCTGCATGGTACTCCGTGCGCATATTCTGGTGTCTGCTGTCGCGATGCTTCGTGAAAGAGAAAAGGAAATCGTTGACAACGACCGAGAAGTACATTATTCGTTTTCTGCACGATGCTGTGTTGCCGCCGCCGCCGCCGCCACCACCGCTCCTCTTCATCTTGCGTGGCTTCCCAGTAAACCTAGGGCTTGCTTGTCTTGTGTGAAGTCGTACTGCCGCGAGATGCTGCAGAACAACAACTTTCGATAAGAAACGGGCCCGATGATGAACGGGCCACGGAGCAGACCAAGTCCCCCCTGACTTGACACCAAACACGCATCTTCTGTTGCTCGCTCCGGAGTCCGAGTTCGTTTGATCAAAGAAACCGATCCAGTGGACCAAGTCAGCATGCTCGCGTGTGATGTGCCAGGGGTAGAAGAAAGCAACAGGAAGAGCAAGCAGCTCCTGCTCGTGATCCTGGCAGATTGTGTTCATAGAGACTCTGCTGTTAGTGAAGCAAATAATCTGGCCATGTCTTGAGGCATCCCTTCGAATGTCATTTTCCCAAACATGTTGGTGGCCTCTGCTCTCACCTTACTGATGGGCTATGACGGTAAGTTCCATGGTAAGTCGCAAAGGCGAATCAATCCAGTTGCTTAGCCCGCATGCATCTGCAGGCAGAGCGAGCGATACCTTACATGCAGACTGCAGCCCGGCACACAATACATTGAACATTGATTCTCTCATTTACCCTGCATTTTTTCCTCGTCTCGCTCGGGTACCCGTACGGGTAGCTGACGAAGTACCCTCTGAGACACTGTACACTGTGTGGAGACATCTAGACTTAACTTCCTTATAGGGAATAGCGTCCACTCTTGCCTCGCTCTACCTGAGGTACTCTCGATCCTCCAGCAAATGCTCATGAGCAATTACTGACTACCTATGTAGTTTCAGTCGAGTCCTGGGAAAAGGTAATGACAGCCAACTGGGTAGCCACATTATCCGTAGCCCGTAGTGTAGACCCATGGCCGATTGTCGTGTTGCCCAGCTTCTCATCGCGTGTTCAAAACGCCATCGACCTCATGGGGGTTAAAATGTACCTTGTATCCGACCTGATGTCGCCATGAGTGAGAGTGAGCCCGGAGTTGCACGATGAACCATAGGTACCTTGACTGCGAGGTGGCGGATACGTACCCTGCCACTGCCTTGCTCCTCCCGTGGACACTTGCCTTTCTTCGTGCAAACCCGCAGCTCCTGCCTGCCCAGTCAGGTAGGTAAAGATACGTATATCCCCTGTTCCGGACCACGCTTGTGTCTCCATGTCCCCGTCCGTATCGATTTCTCTGCTCTTTTGGATGGGTTTGGACCAATCTCGGCCCCCTTGCTCCCCGCTTCGTTCCACAGTCCCACACTTCATGGGGGCACATTGGAACATGGGAGAGCGGAGGGGAAGGGGAGGGGCTCGCCCGCTGCTGCAGCCTGCAGCTACACTCTTTTTTACATCGACTTTTGGAGTCTTGACACTCGAAGAGTCCAAGGTTACAACTTCTCAAGTCATGGACCAAAGCGTGGCAGGCTTGAATCTGAATGGACGGCTTCGACCACGACGCTCCGGCCCTCCGCGTCCCAATCCCCCCATCACCTTCCATTCGTCATGGCCCCCCGGCAAACCGGTAAATCCGACCCAGCTCAGCCCAGCCCAAGCCGCGTCAAGCATAGCACGCGCCGCCGAGCCTTGCAAGCCCAGCCATCTGCCCCAGGTCCTTGGTCCTCCAAAGGCTGTCATCAAAGCTGTCAGGACGAATCGAGCAACGTCCAGATCTCTCCTTCGGGAGCACAAAAGTCAATTTCAGCACGCCTTTCCTTGTCAGGCCTGACATCCCACCTTGTTCTTGGTCATGACCTCCTTGGATTTCTTTCCCGTGTCAGCCTCTTCAACTCCAATCCAACGTCGAAAAAAGGCTTGATTAGTACCGAGATTTGACTTCGCACCTCGGCATTCTAGACTCAACAATGGCCGCGTACTTCGCCTTTCGTCAAGAACGACGACGGACAGCAATGTATTACGAGACCATGTCCAGCAGCCGTATCCCACCACCCTGCGGCCTGCCCCAGGCCCCAAGCAGGGAGCCAGACCGGTGAACGACGGCCCCTGTCAAAGCTCGCATATCAAGATTCAACCCGTCTGCCATCGTTTCTTTTCTTCCCACCGCTCGACTCTTGGCCATCTTGGGGCGTTGCTTTGAGATCTCTTTGTCGTCAACCAACTCGAGCTGAATGCCTACCGAATACTCTCCACGTGTGAATAAGCACGCGTTGTCTCGTACGTCTGCGACGGCAGTTGATCCATCCATCTTCCAGGAAAGAATCGCGGCTCTCGTTCTCACGCCTGTCTCGGCTGCCGCCTTCAGGTCCGTGACCCAGCGCAACGCAATGCAACCTCACGAATACCTTAATACGCTCTTCTCCGACTCCGAGACATACACAACGGAATCGCCGCTCTCCAACTTGAGGCGGGCACAAAGCTCCAGTGCCACTAGACTTCGTACAAAGAAACACTTTGGACCCGTACAATAGCCGCGGCAGCAGAGCAAAGAATCGCATCTTCGACCTGTCATTTGCCTGCCCTGACAACCCGGTCTGCCCATCAAACATGTGCTCCTCCAAGATCCGCTCCGAAGCCCCGAAATCTCTACCAGCATCGACCCAGTGTTTTCTTGTCTCGAGTTGCAGCCATCAACAAGCAGACAGGGACTGTAACATATCTGCTCGTACTTTCTATCCTCCGCAGTATGGACGGATACAGTCTACAAAGTACCCTCGACTCCACGCTCACGACATTTGCTCCGTACCCGTGGCCGCTGCAATCACACGCTATCCATCCTTAGCTTGCCCTGTGTGTCTCCGCTCTGGGGCCACGTTCTCAACAGCACGTCCCATATTGAACGCCTGCGCCTGAAGCACTGTGTGCTGTGCCGCAGCGCGACGGCGTCTTTTTGCCATCCACCTCCCAGCAAACCACCAACCAGACCCTTGTCCCAACTACCATGCCCGCGCCGTGTCGTGTCGTTTGATTTCGGTCGGCGACGGCGTGGGGCATCCACCTGGACCGAGCAAGCGAACGAACGAACACCCACCTGTCCAGAGAGAAAGAGAGACAGGACAACCACATCGAAGTCCCCAAGTCCCAGTCGCGGCTGGGTCTGGCCAGCACTATCGATTTCCAGGAGAATGGAAGCCCACCGTCGAGTAATACACGCACACAATACCAATCCATTGCCAATTTCCGCCAATCACTGATTGGTCAGGTTGGCCTTGCACTGCTAACTTAGGTAGATGATGAAAGTCGTCTCATGGCGCGCATCGGATGTCTTTGTGGCCAGTACTCACAGGAGGCCAGCCTTGGGGGGTAGCAATCGACGTCAATAGTCTATTGAGATCCTGCGAGACCTCACGGTTGCTTGAGTTGTCATCTCTCACTCGGCTAATGTACTATGCTGCGCTTCACGGTGCCGTCGCCGCTGAGCAGCAACCTCTCTCGGGCGCGCGTGACGGTCTGTCTTGAGGTCAAAGAACTATGAGCTACTTTCCTTTTATGGACGGCATGCCAGTGCTGATTGAGGCAGGCTTCTAGAGCGCTGCTCAAGAATGGGCGTAGATGAGCTCGGTCGATTCGCAGGCTTGCAGCTCTCCAAACCAGGAAATCAGCTTCCAGCGGCCATCTAGGAACACCCCTACACCGAGCGCAGCAGGAAGACGCTAAGCCAAACCGCGTCGCAATGTTCCACATGCTCCCGCCTGCAAACCGAGTGCAGTGCAGCGCAAGCGTTGTGTACTGCGTATTTCAACGACTCCAGCGTCGTTGCCAGCTGCACCAAGGGCCGCTCGGAAGCCTTACGCGCAGGTTGTGGTTCGACAGGCCGGCTGACTGGGGGCATGACAACTCGACGTTGGCATTCATTCTCATCGATGAGCCGGCACCGTAGGTATCTTCACCAGCTGAACGCAGCCAAACAACAGGCGGGCCGATCGAAGATGCCAAAAAGCGACGGGAGACAGAACCAAGACCAGCCGAGGTCCTCGATACCGCTAGTCGCGGTAAGCAGCAGGGATTCGATCTTGTACCCTGCACACTCGTCGCACTGGGCGCTTTTCCCGATCCCTCAATTCTCCACGGGTCCCAATCATCAAGGCAGGAGCCACCCCACAGGACCCAAGAATCATTAATTATTTTTCGTTGGCGCGCTCATTCAATATTGCACGCTGCACGCAGCACGCGTGGTGCTTTCTCGTGTCTTGATAATCGAGGGCGGGAGTTCATTTCGAAAGAGGGTCTTTCCTAGGCTCTCCCTGAGTCCCGTCGTTTGGCACGTTGTAAGCAACATTTCGCCCCTTTTCCCCTGCTTCTCCTCCCGCCCTATCTCGCAATGCAGCCGAAAGCCGCAAACCACGATGCTTTGACCACCGTTTAGACAGCCATGGCGCCGCCGACTGTGCTACAATGTGGAATACCTGGATCGCTTATTTCCCATGGATTCCACTGGCAGCCCGGACCTAGGATGAGGGAGCTAAAATTGAGGGGCACAGAGCAGTGAGAAAAGGAAAGGCGTTAGCAATCGAGGGTCCAAAGAAATGGCTGGTGTTTGCTGACATGATTCTTCATTCTGCAGGGACTGGCCTAGAAAGGCTGATAGTCGCCAGATGAAGGCAGCAGTATGTGCTCCCAAGGCATGAGGAGGAGGAACGCAATCGCTCAAGCCCCAAAGCCGTGAGAACCAAGCCGCAAGCAATCGAAGGCAGCGAAGAAGGCTTTGACAGCGTCGGTGCGAAGGTTCTAAGTTCTGACAGGACGCCCACGGCGACGCCTAGGCTCTGCTATGCGTTAGCTCGGCCCTCGAAAGAACAATCCAACGAGCCGTCGGTAGGGAACAGCAGCGTATCCCAAACCGGACAAGTCAGGTACATGAGCTGCAGACGTTTTGGCGCGAGATTGAAGAGAGAAGGGATCGCCAGCAGGTTCAGCAATTGAACCAGGCGGTTGGTTATTGCGGCAATGGCTACGACAACGGCGTCGATGTTGGCCCTGGTTCTGGATCGCCTACCCGTTATTACACAGGCAAGCCAGGACCCAAGAAGAGAGATGTCAATCTGCACTTCTGCAGTGTCGCATGCTAGGTAGT